AAACCATCCCAAACCCTAAACCCCTGAACCCCGGAACCCTAAACCCCAGGGCATGTTTCCGCCAGGGCCGAAACGAAGTCCGACACCTTTGCGCTCTTGAAGCTCGATGGTTTGAAGCTTGACGGCCTGAAGGACTTAGGGTTTAGGGCGGTTAGGGTTTAGGGAAATAGGGGTTTAGGATTTAGGGTAGGGTTTAGGGCGGCTAGGGTTTAGGGGAATAGAGGTTTAGGATTTAGGGTTTAAAATTTAGGGTTTAGGGATTTAGGGATTAGGGGTTTGGAGCTGGGTTGTGGAGTGCCATGCTTGGATACTGCTTTTTTTGGGACTTGTCCCTTATTGGAACCAGTATGAGCTACGAGTGGGTTCAGGGTTTGGAGCGACCTAAGGGTTTACGCGGCCGAAGGACGCCTTCTGATAAGAGCTCTTCTACAGGTTCTTGAGGGCATGGCTCCTTCTGAAAATCGCTCTCTGAAGGTTCTAGAAGGTCTCTTTAGAAGTTCTAGAGCAACGATAAGGGCTCCTTTTGCCGATTCTGCCGAGGTCTGGTTGTCTGTAAGGGAGGGGTCGAAATCATTGCTAAAGTTGTCCCTGAGAGTTCCCTTTTCTTGTACGATAATATGCCCCAAAACTCTGTTCTGATCATTAAGGTCCCTATGTGAAGGCTTGGGGTGTAGGGCCGCCGGTTCGTCCGATCGCGGCCATAAGACAATCTGGATCCCGCACCGTGTGGGGTTCGGTTCCCGCTATACACGCTACGACCGGTAATCTCTAAAGACCCACAAACCCTTACACCCCCAACACCACCCAAAATCTCTGAAATCCTTCACACCCCACAATAACCTGCAAGCCCGAACGCTGCTACAGCCTGAAGGCCCCCCATAAAGCGTGAAGCCCTACCAGGAGACCAGCGGCAAGGTAATGTCCCTTGTGGCAGCAGGCCAGCTTTAGGCTTGATTTATTCTTGGCTATATGTGATAGCTGGGACTCCCTACATAGCTACCCCACTATCGCTTTTCTTCTTACGCCTTATATGCTTTCCGCAAGTTCTCAGACTCGTCTGGGTACAGGTCTCCCCGGGCACAGGAGTTTGCTGCAAGGCTCTTGGTTGCTTTTTGGGTTTTAATGGATACAGGGCCTAAAAAAATTACCTCTACAGTATTCTGGTGGGTCCTGAATATATTTGAAGTATAGTATACCGCAAAATCCCATTCTAATCATTAAGGGCCCGTAATGGCTATTCCCAATAAAGGCAAGTTTTGTTCGCCTTCCTAAGGAGCCCCGAGTATTTGGCTCTCGCTTGCGCTTGCGTAGGCCTCAGCCTCCTTGGCCCGGTAACTTAGGCTAAGGCTCTAAGGACGTATATTTTACGGCCTTGGGGCCTAAAGGCAAGATTTTTGGAAGGCTTTTGGGCCACTTTGAGCCTTAGGGTCAGGCATTCTACCTAAACTCCCAAGGTTCTCCCGGAGCCATCTTCGAACCAGCTCGAATGATCGAGTTGCTTCCTACCAAATACGTAGAACCTGTAACCCTAAACCGGATGTACACCAAAGCCCCAAGCCTGAAAACCCGAAAGCCTAACCCCATCATTTCTAAACCCCTAAACCCTAAACCCAAAGAAAACCCCTAACCCTAAACCCAAAGAAAACCCCTAACCCCTAACCCTAAACCCCTAAACCAGAGCCGGAGGCGCCGAGGCAGCGGCAGAGTCGGCAGTGCTGGGGCCTTTTCCTCGTGTTGCAGAGGCCAAGTCGCCTCAGTTTCAGGGTTTAGGGCTTTACAGGGTTTAGGGGTTTAGGGGTTTAGGGTTTCGGGTTTGGGATTTAGGGCTTCAGGAGGGTTTAGGGTTTAGGGTTCGGGGGTTTCGGTTTAGGGTTTTATAGGCTCCCTAAACCCTGCCTACTTAAATAAAGCCTAAACTCCCAACCTTAAATTCCACACAGCCTCAACCCCTACGCCCTAAACCTTCGAGACCCTAACCCCCCTAAGCCCTAACCCCTAATTAATCCCTAAACCCTTCAACCCTAAACCCCAAACCTTAAAGCGCTAAACCCCTAACCTTAAACCCCTGAACCCCTACCTAGACCACCGGCTTGCGAAAAATAACAGCCACCAAACCTATTGTCGTTCAAAACAAGCACACCCACACCAGAACAGCCTCACAGAACCAAAACAGCCATGCCTGAACTATCTCCAAGGCAAAACAGCCCCACCCAAACCAAACTAGCTTAAGGAGATTTCTGCGAATCCAAGTGGTTCCAGTTATCAACAGCCACTGGAAGTTGCAAGTATATGCTACATGTACCATACGACAAGTTTCTTTAACGTTTACAAATCCATTCCCAGGCCTGTACCATTGATACCGTACAAAGTCGAAAGCCACAAGATGTGAGCCTCGAACCAGACACTGAACTGATAATTGCGATTGGCTCTGAACCTTGTTCACTGATCTTTGAGATTTCGGGTCTATAGTGGGATAGGGTTTACAGAACACAGAGTCAAAGCCCACGGCCCATGCACCTCCAGTGCAGCTGCTCCGAAGACGAGCAGACATGCGGCAAAGCCGGCAAACCCAACTAACCCTCCAACCCGAAAAAGCTAGCTCCCGAGATGTAAGACATCAAACCCAGTGTGTCTCCTATCCCCGTAACCGGACATTGGCTCAAGCTGTTCTTTCCACACGGTGCGTCCCGCCACGTCCTAAGCTTTCAACTTACGCAGCATTGCTTTCGATTTCACGAGATGCCGCTGAAGTGTTCTCAGTGCCAGTGTCCGTCCATGCGTGGCTCGCGCTGTTCTTGCAGTACGTCCAACGAAATCCTCCGACTGGCTACAGTCGTGGACCAGTGGATTGAGATAGCAGATGGCGCCCCTCTGCAATGCAATGTCTATTTCCACCGCAAAATGGTGGACAGAATGTAAAGTTGTTTTACATCTGAATGCGGCGAACTTCTCTTCGCAACATAGTTGTGCAACGTAGCTGTACCCTCGCACTACACGGAGGATGTTGTCTCGTACAATCTGCATGCAACGTCTTGGGATCCATAACCCGTGGTTGTAAAGCAGCCAAAACATCTTGGTAGAAGCTTCGCAAATCTGAGCTGCAGCTTTCAACATGTTGAGGCTGCGATGGCCTGCGAGCTTCTGGACTCCGAGACGACACTCAAGGCGCAGCCACTGCAGCAAAAGGATTGTGTCAGAGCCTTTGGAAGCAGTAAAAGAATAGGATTGGGAAGTTTTGTGGTGCATAAAGTCTTTCGTAAACTTGCGAAGATGCGGAGTGTGTTTCTCAGCGGATGCCCACATTGCAAACCGAGCATGCGCTCGACCAAGCCTCTGAAGCACCCCCTTCGAATCCCCAGGATAATCAAAAAGACCGAAGAATCTACACAGCAGCATGATTATTCCGCCACAGATGTCCCTGCCCAGTCCAATCTTAAATGTGTGCAGCAGATCTCTCTTGTATTTGAATGATGGGAAAGTGTTGTCGAAGGGAACTGTCTCGAATACACCGGGTGCATCCCATGGCTCACTGTCACCAATCGTTTGAACCCAGGCCGGATTGTGCCCCGTTTCCTCGAACGGGTAATCGTCGTTGCCAGCTAAGCAATCATGGCATATCTCATAATTTGCCACGTCACCTAAATGCAAATAGCTCCGGGTAAACATACCCACACGGGCATGCCACTTGGCATCCCCCTTCATGCCGACGAGCCCGACATAGTACTGCCGGCCATCAACAACAAGTCCAGTGTGAAATAAATTGTAAAGGTCATCAGCAATAGCCTTTTGGACGCCATCAAGTACCCAAGGGCCAAGATCCAAGGAGGCAGTCGGAATGACATAATTCAGATAACGTGCCAAAAAAGAGTGGCCGGAAGTGGCATGCCACTGGCACATAAGTTCTGATAGATCATGATCCGACAGTGACCAGTCCTGATCACTGGCAGCACGGGGCCATCGATCAGGCACCTGGCAGCAGTGGCCAGCAGGTGTTTCAGCAGCACAATGTTGGGCACAATCGCAAAATCTGGGCCGCTTGGTTTTTTTGCGGCTTTCAGTGGTTTCCATACCAAACACAGTCTCGAAACTGCCAATCGCTATCGGCTGCTTTTTTGAACCCGTCCCCTCGTCCCCATAGAGAAGAATAGGTAGCACAGCCCCCACCTCTTCGGGCGTGAACCGCCTGAATATTTCATGCGTGCTTTGGGATTGATAAAGAGCCTTCCAAAAGCTGCTGCATTTGTGGGGAGCCTCTTCCAACTTGCAGTTCCCAAACAGTGCCGATGGATGTGACCGCAAAAGCGCTCTGATCCAGTTTGACGGCTTCAAGATAGGAAACTTCAGAGTTTGGCTGCCATCCTTCAGAATGATGTAAGTGATGGGAACATTCAGTCGCAGTCCCCACTGTGCGAACAAATGATGAGCCGCTCTCTCGGCATTGTTGACATTAGCCTTCGCAGCATCTCCCACAGCTATGCCCTGCAGGCCATCCGACACAGCCGCTTCGCTGACTCTGGCCATTGCGGCTGCTGGGACCTCGGCACCATCAAGTTTGTGACTGGCGCATTGTCAAAGGCATAGAAAGAAGCACGACGACTAGAAAGCTCAGAAGCTAACTCCATCAGCAACCATCTCAGCGAGGGTTTCGAGAAGATGACCAGGTTTTGAATCAGCTTCATCGCCTGGCATAACAGTACAACCAAGGTTTTTTGTATATGCATATCTCAAACTGCTGACTGCAATCTCGTCTTTTAGATGCTGCGTGCGCTCGCTCATTCCTGAAGGCCCTAAGTGGCCAAAGCTACATACTGGATTGGGTGCGGAAGCCCAGCTTCTCTTTAGGATTGCATATTTGGGGCTTGCAACAGGGAAGATGTTCTTATACTAGTTCTACCACATTACCATAATATGGGAGTTCAGCTGCTTCGGAGGGCCATCGCACCAGGTGCACATGAAGATTTGCACGTGTCATGACACATGCATCGATATAAATACAAAATCTAGCCCTTCTTCCGCTTGGACTGCGGGGTTTCCAAAGCAGGATCCGGTTTCTTTGGCGCCTCCTTTACAAGCTTCACTTTCGGGGCCGCCTTACCCGAAGCCTTGGCCTTGGGAGTAAGCTTGGGCTTTGCATCGCTGGCACGGGGCAGCATTGTCCTGCCAGACAGCCAATTTAACCGATTCTTCGGAACACAGCGAACTGGACAAATGCGTAGCAGGTTGTGCACACTGTCCTTGCTCTGGGCTCCAGCATGAGAGCCTCCACAGCCCTTGGTTTCAGACCACACAAGATCGAGCATCCAGCCTCCTATTTAACTGCAGTCGTGGAGCTTCAGCTTGACACCGTGGATGCACTTGCGTAGCTCATCCTCATGCCTTTGCAATCACAAAGCAAAAAGTGAGAGAGGGGGGAGAGAGAGAGAGAGAGAGAGAGAGAGAGAGAGAGAGAGAGAGAGAGAGAGAAAGAAAGAAAGAGATAGAGAGAGCGACGGAGGGAAAGAGAGAGGGAGAGGGTCGAGATTACAGAAACACAGAACGAGATAGGGGTGACGGGCCAACAAAATACGAAGCCGCTATATGACAATCACAGAAACTTGGGCTATCCCTGCATGCTCTTTATATATGCAGAATCGAGACAACTAGCTGCACGAAGGCTAGACTGTCTTAGTATGTCGGTTAGGACAAGGTGTTGCATAGCATTGAGGGTTGAAGATTACACAGGTTGGAGGATCTATTGCAAACGGAGACACTCGGCAGTAAAACCATCGCACACCCCGGCTGTGTGAATCTCCTCGATTTTCTCCTGCATTGACTCCAGGTCGGCGATGACACTGCCAAGCTTGCTGAACATCCTTGGATGGACATGGCTGGCTGGAGCCTCTGAGTTCAACACAGACAACCCTAAATGTCCGAAACCCCTATAGCCCCATATAGAACATCTGAAGGCACTGAAGCCACAGATCCGATTAGTACGGGCACCGTTTCTTGCTAAGGTTCTCTGCATACAGTCTATAGATATAGGGTTGCACAGACATTTTACCAGGGCGTGGGTTTGCTATACGGATTAGGTTCAGGGTTTGATAAGGGAGCTTTGTACACATCATACGGCGTGCAAGTTTCTTGTTCTGGGAGCTGGTCAGGGTATTCTCTCCCTTGTCATTCGTGGACTTGCACTCATCCCTGATGTCTTGGAGCTTGTTGGTCCGCTTGGTAAGGCAAAGTAGAAGCTTCTGGCAATAAGAGCTGGGAAGGGCGTCGGGATCAATCTCTGGCACATTTGCCCGCTTCCTCAAGTCAAGGGCCTCCTTATTGGGTGTGCCAGCGGCCTCAGCGGGCTTGATTTCCTCCTGTCCTGAGTGACTGATGCACACTCCACGATGATCGCCAGAAACCTATATACTGTAGAAGCTGAAAAACCAAAGCTTAGCCAACCCAACCCGAACCCCCCATTTCAAGCCACCTTCCCAAGGCGAGTTAATCGGGCCAATGCGTTCACCGGAGTCGCCCGCCACGCCTTCGGCCTGGAACCTAGACGTCGATCGCCGGATATGGCGCTCTCCCTGCCTTGGAGCGGATAGGGATCTGGAAAGGATTGTATCATATATGTCGGAAAGTGCAGCTAGATTACTTGTGCGTGGCTTTGATCGCCTTCTCACACCAGTAAAGGATCAGCCCCTCTTCGTAGGTGTCCCGCCTGTGAGACTAAGTTATTGTTCGAGCTCAGGTGTGGTTACTATGTCGAGGGTTTCCAGGGTCTACAGCACGGTGTACATTCACAAAGGCTTATATGGACGGCTGAGCTGGTTCAGATTTAGGTTTTGAGGCGATACTGTCGGCTACATGGTACACACAAGGGCTTATGGGCGGCTCAGTCTATTTATAAGGATTTCGGGATACTGTCGGGATTGAAATAGGTTCTGCCTCATGAAGCGACCTGGATTGCTCGCGCAATACTTCTTGACAGCCGCGATGCGGGTCCTCAGCTGAAGCGAGTTTGGATGAAATCTACATAACACAGTACGATCTATCATGGTAGGCTAACAAGGCTCTCGCTCCACCCCCACTCGCGCATCGTCGCTTCCGATGTGTACTCGCCCTCTATGGTTAATTCATCCTCCTCATAGGTCTCGTGAATCTCTTCAAGCTCCTGAATAAATGCTTCCTGCAGCGCACGGTCCGTGTGTAACATGTGTGTATATATTGTTTGTATTATACATGTGCGTGTGTCTTTGCGTATCGTATCGTAACACACATGAAACCATACCATGTACCATTTCATACCATACCGAGCCAAGGTCATGCGAAACCATATCGTAACATACCACACTATAGATACCATACTATGCCTTACCATCCCATGCCATACCATACAGTAACATATCATCACGTACCAAATCATACCGCATCATACCTTATCTTGCCATACCAAATCACATCACCTCATATAGCACCATGTCATACCATATACTCTCTCTCTATGTGTATATAGATGTGTACATCTGTATATATATATATATGTATACAACATGTGTATGTATGTATGTAATATGTATGTATGTATACATATGCATGTATGTATGATGGATTGGTGATATCTGTGTGTATGCATATGTGTATATGTATATGACACGTATGCATCACAGGTGACACAATGTTGATAACACCGCGAAAAGGACAAAACACTCTCTGGCTCTACACGAACTCTGTACATGATACAACATGCAGTCGCTGAAACTGTTGTTCTAGGGCTCCCCTGCTGTAAAGGTTTTATAAGGTGATTGTCAGTTTGGTTTGGCTTGCAGGGCTGGAGAAATAAGGATGATCGGTATATACACATGTCCAAACCACCCCGGTCCGGATTGTATCCGCAGCTCGCGAATATCTTTTGCAGGCTTTTGCGGGCATCTCCCCGCTTGCGCCATTGATCAACGAACTTCTGGGGAACTTTGACCGTTCCATCGACCCGGGCCGTAAAAACCCGCCTCATTCGGCGATCAATGGCACCGTCTGACAGGCTCATCTCCGAAGGCGGCGGAGATGGAGCCTGCTTGTCGCATAGATCCGGAATGTTTAGCATGGAAGCGGCATCCCCGTCATGGTCCTCACCTGTCAGAAGCTCTGGCAGCTCTGGCTCGGGCGCAACTGACGGCAACGGCTTGGAAACTGGCTCAGACGGCTCAGGTTTTCCTGCGGCGGGACTGGGTGGATTTTCAGAAGCGGAGACGGGATGCTCAGGTTTGAGCTCCGCATCAGCTGCATCATGGGGCTTTGCAACGGAAGCAGGATGCTTTGGAACTGGGTTGGCCAACTCACCGGGCAGGCTCTTGGAGGAGTCAGGCTTGGGCGCTGAGGATGGGGGATGCTGCTGCTGAGCTGGCTCAACAGTCTTCTCCGGCTGGGGAGCAGCAGAACCCTTGCCGTCTCCAGTTGCTGGCTTGCTTGCACTCTCCTTCCTAGGCTCCTCATGCCTCTCTAGCTGCCTATCCTGTCCAATTTCATCACTGAGGCCGGAAGAGGAAGCTCCACTGCGAAGAGGCACAGGAGAGGGAGCAGGGCTGTCACGAAGGGTGTCCGGAAGTTCAACCTGGGTGCTTCTGGTTTAAGGCCTCGCGTTGGGTGGTACATTCATTGTATTACATGCACATATACAAACATATATGTATATATATACACACATGCACATACATATACAAATATACATGTACATACATATATATACATATATATATATATATACATACATATACATAAATATACATAAATATACATATATATATATATATACATATACATATACATATACATATACATATATATATATATATATATATATAAATACATACATACATACATACATACATACATACATACATACATATACTTGCCTTTCCAGTACATTTCAGTACATTATACACGTTACATTACATTACATTACATAGATACACACATGTACTCCTACATTCATTTGTGCAGCATTCATTGACTACTTCATTTGCTCGTCGTGTTCATACTAGTTAGACAGATAGGTGTATTAGAGATATTTTAGCACATAGTTTGTGCACAAGTTAGCTAGTTCCGACTAGATAGAGAGGTCGACAAAGTCGGTAGATAGGCAGGTATAAAGTATATATATATATAGAAAGAAAGATAAGAGAAGGCAGATAGGCGGGCATTGCATCATACACAAACAACAGCGGACATGTGGAAGGCACCCACGACATGCAGATGCAGATACTTGAGAGCCGACTAGGGCAGCGAGCCACGAGACCCGGCCATGCAATTACAACCCTCCCTAAATATTGTGTTCCTGTATATATATAATATGTACTGGTTCGGTATAAGTATATATAAGACTGTACACTGTAAACATATCCGGTTGCAGCCGATCTGCTGTGTCCTGTATCATCAGAAGCTTTGGAGGCTCACCGTCCCCAATTTCTGTAGGATCTGATCGGCCACAACCCTTGCCCTTCAATCTCTTGCGCTCTCGAATCTCTCGAAGCAGCTCCTCGGCCTCCTTTGCAAACCGGGTAACCATTCTATCATCCTAAGTATACTGAACACAAACAAAACCCTAGATCGAACCCATCCTCCAGCTGGCGTCGAACACCACGTGCATCGCCGTGCTCTGGGGCACCCATGGAGGCCACCATGTTCGAAACACAGCCTAAGCCTTCCTCTAAAGTAGAGGTTGACCACTGCCTACTTGGCACAGCACTCCTCATACGTGCTGATCGGTGTGTTGGGCCGCCACTTCAGGAATTTATGACAGCTTCTGATATGTCACTTCAAGCTTTTGGGTCGTGGAGGGTGAATACTTCAGGCTTTTTTTTGTTAGTTAGATTGGCAGAAATGGGCCTCCGCATAATTCCGCCTCATTCCGCTTAATTCCGCCCCATTTCCGGGCAATTCCGCCTCATACTTCAGGGTTATATTTGGTGACTTCAGGCTTTTGGGTGGTATTTGCCTCATACTTCAGGGATTTTTTTCCATGTGCAGCTCACTTCAGGCATTTTGGGTGTACTTCAGGCTTTCGGCTCGCACATGCGTTGCACTTCAAGGAATTCAGGCACACTTCAGGCTTTTTGGGTGTAATTCGGGTATCTTGCCATGAACATAACAGGTTTCTGTTTGCATTCAGGCTTTGTTTCTCCGATTGACATGATCGACGGACGATTTGGGTCTGTTCCGGGGTTTGCTTATGGCTTGGGATTTCGCAAAGGCACCTGGCCAAACAGGCGGGTGCTTAAGCAAAACCACTTAAGTGGTTTTGCTTAAGCACCCGCCTGTTTGGCCAATTAGCATCGAGGCGCCTCCCACTACCCCGACCCTTTCTTCGAGACCTGCTACTGGCGTGCTAGGATAACGGCTTTCTAGCGAACCTTGTGGGATTTGTTGAAGGCTCTGCCACGGTCTTTTGCTGGTATCGGACGTATGTATCTGTGTGAACGGGCACCCTTGCAAGCAATCCATCTACCTGTCGAATTAAGCAGACCTCCCGAATTACACCGTCGAGACCCAAAAATCTCAGAACAGCGATGGTACCTTCCCTCGCCACTCAGGAGGAATATGTAGAGCGGTACCCCCACGAAGATACTGAACCACTTCTGAAAGGCCCCCGGGGGAAGACTCATCTTCCCAGGCCAACCGACCACATAGCTCATGAAGCGGAGTGTCTGTATCCTGAGCAGTTGGGCTTCGGAGGACGTGGCCCGGCGTTGGGTGTTCTGAGGTTTTGGGTGGGCTTTTGGAGGCGTTCCTGGGTTCGGTGTCAGGCTCCATCGTGGCTTCCTTTAGCAAGCCCGTAGGTTTAGAGCATATATCAGCTAGATTTGGGTTTCACTTACTGAGCGGCTTACATGGTGGTATATACAAACCGAATGCGCTTCATGGACTGAGTCCTGAGATCTGCACGATCATGGGATAATTACATTGCAAGAATATAGATGAGATAATGCAGGATATCATCCATCAACAGCGTTTGTCTCAAGGGCCCTCCCTCCTCCCCAACCTCCCCCCTCCCCTCTCCCCCTCTCCTCCCTCCCTCTCCTTCCCTGTGCCCTGCGGAAAGCCTCCCTAAGCCAGCATCATGAGCATATAGGCCCCAGGACCCCCCAAACCCCATTTCCCAGCGCTTGCTCTCTCCAACCTTACTTCTGGGTCTACGTCTCAGAGGGTTTCTGTCGAGGCTAGGGGGTGCGTATTGGAACCAGGGCAGACGAAGTTCGGGTCGCAACGAAAAGCTCAAAGAGCCCCTCTGCAGCAGCAAAGTCCTGGGTAAAACCCGATAAAGTTAACCCCCCTAAGAAAATTTATAAACCCTAAACCCCTATGACCACTATATACCCTATGTCCACTGCAGGCCGTCTAGTATAGGAAGCAACACACCTATTATATATATATATATATATATATATTACACCCTTTATCAGATGCAGGGCTTTGGGTTTTGTAGTGTTTTTTGCTATCAGCAGTGCATGGAGAAATAAGAACATGCGTCCTAGCAACGACTGGTATGTTCACATCCTGCGCTTGTAGTCTGGGCAGCATATCGACGATGGCCCGGGCGAAGGAGGGAGTGTACTCCCTGGGCTTCAGAAAAACGACACTACACCACCGTTGGCGCTCATAAAACTAAATGATGCTACAGTACAGAACTTTTCTCACCACGGCACTGTGTTTGTTTCAGGAATGGAGTTGCTGTCCATGTGACAATGCCATTCTTAGGGGTCTTCTTGCTCGTCGGAAACTGACACTTGCGATCAGACTTTGGTACCTTTCCCTTGTCCAACTTTCGCACCGAAGACCTGTTGCTGATCACTGTAGTCCTCTTCATCGTTGGTGAGTTGTAGTGCTTCATCCAAAAGTTGGTCTTGTAGACCTGGCACAGGTTCGGGATAAGGGGGCTAGATAGGAGCACGACGACGTATGATTGTAGTGCGCTCCCATGCCAATGCGGGTGAGGAGCGGGGAGCCCGATCTTCCTCATACGGCGAACCCAGTCTAAGAAGAACTTCGTCTCGAAGAGGAGTGACGTCACTGGATTTTCCAAGAAGACTGTACCCCCAGCACATACAACCACACTCATCAAGTGTAGTGTCCTGCAGCAGATGATGGATAGCAGATGAAAAGACCTTGATACGACACTCTAACACGATTGTCCATATTTGTATCATAAAGGTCTCCTGCTCAGCAACTTGTTTGCTCGCCGAACAGTAGGTTCTGTCTCCAAGCCCTCTGGTGTAAGTACATTCCGACGAGAAGTACCCATATTGGTCAGAACGAAGCTGGAGCAGCATATTGCAAAGAAGCCGCACAGCTGCGACCAATTGCCTTGCAGGATCATCGTGAGAGCGAGCCTGAGATCAAGTGGCAGGAGACTGGGAGTTGATTTGAAATGTGTGGCCGAGGCTTTTGTATCTCTGTTTCAGACAAGACTCGCAAATCCTGAAGCAGAATTTACATCGAATGGGCTGCGTTTGTCGAGACGAGTCCTTCTTGTCTCAGCACGAACAAAGTCATACTCGATGTCCAAAGCCGCAGATCTAAACCCGGCAGCATTCGCCGAGGATGCGATATTGCCAGCACCAGCGAAGAATTCTAGCATGTCGTACGGAGTGTCCGGACACAAGTTTACGTAAGAGGTCCAGGACAGAAGAAGTACACAAAGGAATATCTCCTGCAGGAAGCGACATGCTACATCAGAGAGGCAATCCCACATCACTGCCATGCGAAACCCCACACCCCCAAACACTGGCCTTGGGAACCCGAAGAGCAACCAATCGTCTCAACAGGAGCTCCAGCTGCGGACCAGTGGTCATGGCTGCTTAGCAAGGCTGGCAACTGTGGGCGTAATGCAAACACTCGGATTCTGAAGAGTCATTGTGCACACTGTACTGTGTGATTACATAAGAGCAAAATCATCATCGGCTTCGCATGACTCACTGGTATATCGCTGCATATCCCAAGCAAGCTGAATGACAATCAGATGTGGTGTGACTTGATGCAGACACACAAACGCTAGCCTGCTCAGCATTGCTTGGCCATGATAAGAAAAGCGTGCCAGGGTGTCGCACGGCCAAACCACGCCTCACGAGAAAGGCCTGCCCACGAATCGAAGCGCCGTGCATGTTCTCGACGGGAACACCTGGGCGGACTGAAGCCCCAACCGGAAGATAAGGAAGGGGTTACAAGGAAATTGTGGTTTTGGGTTTAGGGGTTTAGGGTTTGGGGTGATAATACCATATGGTCATACAGTAGCATGCTGGCAAAGTTATTTTTATACAGTGGCGACGGCCATGGTAGCATGGATAAGTTGTGCGTGTATAGTATCAGTAGCAGTAGCAGTAGCAGTAGCAGTAGCAGTAGCAGTAGCAGTAGTAGTAGTAGTAGTAGTAGTAGTAGTAGTAGTAGTAGTAGTAGTACACTATAGTAGTATCATAGGAGTTGTATAGTAATGGTGGCAGTGGTAGTAGTAGAGGTAATGGTAATAAACGTGGTATAATAGTGGCATAGTGGTAGTGGCAGAGGTAGTGGTTGTGGTAGAGTACATAGAGGTACTACGATAGTCGTATATCTATATATATATATATATATATATATATATATATTACACGCAACCGCAGTCTTATAGTCGTAAGTTTAATAGCACACATATAAAAGAAGAAGGAGCTAATAGTATTATATATGTAGTATAGTAGCACCACTGTATACTGTACTATACAACTGTGCTTTAGTAAGGACAGCAATCATAGAAACGGCTGGCAGCCCATCCGTTCGAGTTTGATTCCAGCTGCGATCGGCACGTCTTTCCCATGTGAAACCCCTTCTGCAATCCTTGCATGCATGGGAAGCTGCCCACACAAAACATCTCCATGGTCGATGCGTGTTCTCACGCAACAGAAACATAATGGCTCATGCGATGCATGAGCCCAGAAACCCTGGCACAGCTAGGCCCTTCAAATGATCCTTCTTTACAAGGCGGGCAGATTTCGCACAAAACGCTTCGCAGCCTTCACGGCAGCAGCCACGTAGTCCTCGCTGGTCTTTAAGCGATCCGCCCGCGCCTTGAAGATGACTTGGCATTCCTTCCAAAACGGATCCTGCAGGGCACAGGGCTACCACATTCAGTCAATCACCTTGCTTTACCTACCGTGTGTTTATATGTGTGTTCAACCACAAACAGCATGGGCTTGGGCAGTCCTGGTACTTGGAGGGGAAGTTGACATAGAGACCGACGTGATCCAGAAATGCAGACTTAACGGCCTTCCATTTCATGTATGTCGACGCCTTTTTGGGAGGGGGCCTGCGAGCGAAGCATGTCTCCTTCGTCTCCTCGTCCTCATCCTCCTTTTCGGGCAAGTCCTCCTCCATACCAGATTTCTCATCCTTGTCCTTGACACATGCTGCCTTTGCTGCTGGGGCCTCGAGAGGCCCATCATTGTCAAAGCCTGCGCTCGAACTCTTTCGGAACACACGCATGCGTTTCAGGGGCTTGGAAGGCTGCGCATCGTCATCATGGTCTCCGTACCAAGCTCGGAGCTCATCCTCCGTCCAGCCTTTGAACCGGTAGTACTCGCGCTCGGTCTCCTCATCCCAGAAGTCCCAGAAGTTGTCCGGGGCACCCAACGAGGAGGCAGGCGATGCCTTCTGCTTCGTCACCTTGGTAGCCGGACGTCCACGGCCACGGCCACGTCCCCTGCCTCGTCCGCGAGCATCCTTGCATTTCTTCCGTTTCTTCTTCTCCTCGGGCACCGGGTCAGGGTCTGCTTCTTCGGGCAGGCGGGCAACCGCGGTCTGGTCGGTGCGCTTGATGTAGGCCTGCTGAAACATCGGGATTTTAAGCCATGTCTTAAAATCAACTTTTAGCCAACAACCTGGTTGTTCAATATGTCCAACTGCTCTTCTCCCTCCGGCTTGCATGCTGCACTGTCAGCACGACCCACCACTTCGGGGGCATGGGGCGGGGAAGTCTTGGGAGGCGTAGCTTGGGCATCCAAAGCCGCCGCAAGGTTCCTCGGAGTCGGCGTCCTTGTAATGCTGCTTGGAGAAGCGATCGGCTGGGTTTCTTCATTGTCGGGGCCGGGCGTTTTCGGCAACATCGACCTCATTCATCCGAGACTCACCATGTTTTGGGCTACATGTGATAGGTTTATATATGCCCCATCTACAGAATCAGGGTCTAGCTACCTCAGCATGGCAATCTTTTCCAGCATCGCTTGCTCTTTCAAGTCCAAGTCATCGCCGTCCACCTCTGAGGGATCCCAGAACTTGTGCTCCTTCGGTGTCGTGAGCTTCTTCTCCGAAGCCTCCTCCAGGTGACATCCACCTACATCACCGGCCTCTTCAGCCGGCTGGAGAACTTCATAGCCATCTCGCTGGAGATGCAAGCCACTCAAGTCCTCCCCATCCACTTCGGAATCAATCACGGCATCGATCTCTGCCAACTCTTCCGATTCTTCGGTTTCGGGATCGGCGCCTTTGCCACCCTTTTTTTTGTGCTTGTTCTTCAGGTGGCCCCAGTGCTGCACCAGGACATTGAAGAACTGATCGGTAACGGGGTCACGTCGCTTCCGCGCTGAGGAGCGACGGCGAATGGCCAGGGAAAAGAGTCTTCTTAACCCCCAACTATCCAAATAAACCAGGACCTCGTCCTCCTCGAAGCCCATGATCCGGCGAAACTCCAGGATCTGGGGTATGTACGGAGTATATGTGCAACAAGATGCAAAAAAGATTCGAAAACATGTTTTACACCGAGGGGCCTCGGCTCGAAGGAGTGGCACCGGCGGAGACTTGGGTTCCTTGAAGAGGGGGCACCAACGCTTTGCGAGGTGGTAGAGAGGATCGCAGCAAAGGTTAATGGCCTTCATGCTCGGGATGCCTTTCGATTTCGGGGCAGGCCACCGTGTCAACATCTTTGTCGCTCTCGCCCTGGCCCGAATCGCTTTATCCTCGTCCCAGACAGTAGCCAACTGGCCTACCACCCAAGCCACCTCCACCTCCTCAGGTTCTTCCGCTGAACCCTCATCGCCCTGAGCACTTTCATCCCCATCAGGAACAGCCGGAGGTTCCTCCGCCTCGGCACGCCTGCCACCGCCACGACCCATGATATGAAATGGCAGCAAGCCTAATGGATCAAAGAGCCCAAGCTTCAATGAAAATCGAAACTTCAAGTTGTCTAAGTCTGTCTTCAAATGCCAGCATTGATGCACACTCGTACACGTGTTGCATTAGGCCCGGCGCCAGACGGAAGTAAACATAGAGCACCCCGAAGATGAGCAGAGCTGTACCTGGCAGGAAAACATGTTTACGACCCTGGTATAGGCGTTATTATATAAGCTAATTTTCAATTCACTGCATTGGCTTTTCATCAGCATGTCTTCCTTGGGTCCATCTACGGCTTTCGGACTCCAGGTTCCCAGACGGCCCAACAAACTTAGCCACAAGCCTTGGAACAACTTAAGATTTTACACCGGGATGATAAATCATTGTTACAGCCCTGTGGTTTCCCTGGGTCCACCCCTTGGCCATGTGCTAACTGTACACACATGGCCCCCAGAAAGCCCTAACATAAGCTCCCAATCTACTAAATGGCTGGACTGCATCTCATCTCTGCTTGGAGCAGGTGATCTTTGAGCAGCCTGAGCGGAAGGTTCAAGCTGGGAGGGCATGGATCAGTGCAACTCATACTATGCCACCCGAGAACACTTGGCGAAATCAGCTTCTGTGCAGTTCGCGATCTTGTAGACAATGCCACGATGAGAAAAATTGTCCAAGACATCCAGCACTCGAGAGTCCCACGTCTTTGTGCAGGCTTCCTGAAGCAGAACCCTGAGACCACCCCCCCTGTAAAGGATAGCTAGCACAAGCACTTTCTGCACTCCCGAGAGCATCACATGATCATGTCCCAAAGCATGTAGCGCTCGAGACCAGAACTGGTCATCATATTGATCCAGCCCTGCGGGTAGCGTCTCACCGAACATGATGATCTAGCTTTGGTATGACGGCATGATTGTTCGACCCAGCCTTCATCTGCTACCCTGCACCAGGTGTCAGCAGAGACACTTCGAAAGACGGTCAGTTTCATGATGCCAGCAAAATGACAAAACGTTTTCCTAAAGCTTGAGCCCAGCTGTATATGCAGGAACAGTTCATAGCTGTCAGACGTAGATTTGCGAGCGCTTGCATGCATACCAAAAAAGCTGGGGCACTGGATGAGCTCATGTGCACACTCTGGCACACCGACCGATCCATGGCTGTGCAGCCGTTGGCTGCACGAAGCCCGAACTCCCCTAAGTATAGCGACTATCAACCCGACATTTCTTTAAACCCTGCAAACCACTCGCTCGACCTCTGGGTATTCCGAGCCTCGGGTCTTGGGGCACCTCAACCTGCCTCTGTTTCTTGTTTCATAATATAATATAGATTGTTGTGAATACCTCGGGATGCTTCGGGTTTCCAGTGGTTGTTTAATAGGGGTTCAGTAAAGGGCATACGTTCTTACTTATTGTCGACACCATAGCTCGTCTGATGTTGGAGCCTGTGTGGCGAAACTTGCCATCTGTATTCCCTCCTCGAACCAGGAACAGCGATCCAAAAATCAAAACAGCCACACCCAATATCCCCGAAATAGAAATCCAGTATGTTTGCAAGGCGTGACTGTTTTTAGGGGTTGTACTTAGAAAAGGCAATTGTTTTGGAAAGACTATTTTTTTGCATACATTGGAAGCTACAGGTAAACCCTATAAACCCCTAAAGCCAACACCCTGACCGAACCTACTTCCGAGGCCTTCCCTCCTGCACCGCGCGCGCCAGACCGCGGAGCCAGCTCCAAAGGCCAGAAGTTTCAGGCTTTAGGATAAGGGTTTAGGGTTTATGGTGTAGTAGAGTTGTTGAGGGGTTAGGGAAAAATCCTAGGTAGGAGTTCTAGAAGGACGTTAGGGGGGGTTGATACTGTCTTAATTAGAAGGCTTGCATAATTAGGTTTTTATATAGTTTCCAATGAGGGTTCGATAGGGCGTGCACTTCAGGATTTCAGGTCTGTTTCCTCTTTGGATCAGGGCTTTAGTCCAGGGACCTAAACCGTTTGTGAACCTACTGTGGGATTCGTAGCTACGGTGCACAGATGCAGATTTCCTTTCCATAATTCTATATGCACTGGTGCAATGCAGAAAGACGAAGGTGTTTGGCACTAGCCGAGAGATCTTGTACTATGCAAGTGCGGGCTTAACGGTTAGAATCATGGTTCCTGCCCGCAAACCCAACCCGAGGTGGTAGATCTTCGAGCATGCTGGTGGGTGTCTCATGTTTACAGCGTTTGGGGCAGTGGCGGAATCTGTTCCAGGCGTGTCGTGAGGTCCCGAGACTGAGCAATCTGGGCCAGTGTCACCAATCACAGCTGACTCGAAATCCTAAACCCTACACCTGGCGACAACGGATCGTAAGTACACTGAGCCTCGGCAAAGGCGAGAGAAGGCAATTCAGGCTGTCTGAATTCCCGTCCAGAATTGACGTGCTTCAGAGCTTCAGCTTGGGCATCCCAGACGCGATGCAAACTGAATCGACGCCCGACCCCACAAGCCCAAGATGCTTGAGCCGTAAAACCCTCAACCCCAAGCTCGAAATCTTAACCAAGGAGGCACCGCGGCAGTCGCAGCGAGCACCCTCAGTGCTGGCTGCAATGGGGCTGAAGCATTCAGAGGCTCGCGGGGGTTTGGACCGTGCTTGTCACCCTTGTTCTTGCCAGCTTCTCTTGCTACGAGTAGCAATATAGTGGAGTTTGCGAAACCCTAAACACCAGGGCAGGTCAAGGGAGTTCTATGTATCCTGTGGTCATGTTATGTCGCTCTGGATGCGGGTGATGTAGTAATGCTTCTGGATGCGGGTGGTGTAGTAATAGGCTGGTGTCTTGAGCTAAAGTCATGTTTTAAGAGTTGACCTACATGCCCAAAATTCGATAGACATGTTGAGAATCTTCCATGTCCAGGCCTTTTGCATTTGTGGCACAACCTAGGTGTGTCGAGTTGCGTCCACGCCGAGTTATAATTTCATGCAAGCAGTTCTGCAGCATGTACGGCTTATTGAGACGTCGCAGTGGACGGATTGAGCTTTCGGAACAGATCCGCTTTGATTTGATGGCCTCAACATATGATATCCGGACCTCTCTGTTCTGGGTCCAGGGCGGTCGCAGCTACATGAGGCATGCACATCATCCCTAAAGCACATAAATTGCACGAATCCGAATCCCTAGTCTAGCCTGGATGCCTGCCCCGCGAACGAAGGAAACCCTCAAACCCTCGTCCACCCTGCATCTAAGACCGAAGTCTAACCCGTAAGCCGTAAACCTCGATGCATCTCTCCTAAACCCTACTTACATCTGCTTACCAAAACCATAATGCATCTCCTCGTGCCTAAAGCCAAAGCCCGTAGTATCAATCCATTTCTCAAACCACCCTGCACCCTGAAATGCTTAAACTTTGAGCCAACTCTAAGCCCTGAACCCTAAACTGCTAAACGCCAAACCCGGAGCCCTGAACTCTAAACCCTGAATCCTAAACTGCTAAATTCCAAACCCGGAACCCCGAAACCTGCCTGAAGCACCTTGCTGCTGGCAGGGAGCGCCCCTCGCGCCTGTTGCCGCCCTACAGAGGCCTGGCCCTTCTGTTGAAGCTGCGAGCTGCCGGGAGGGTCTACTATAGGGGCCGGAATAACTACCTATGCTTTTGAGGGGGCTCCTTATTCGGATTATAGAGTCATATAATCCATTAGGATTATAGTATCATATACCCCTAAACCCTATTCTAATTATGAAGGCCCCTACATAAGGTTGTTGCAGAGTTTTGCTCTTGTGATGAATTACTGGAGTTTAGGGGTGCTTGAGCGGGGTTTTGGGCTTAACTCGAGTCTGACTCAGGCAAGAAGGGGGTCATGGGGGTTGGCTTCATTGAAACTCAGAAACTATGAAACCTAATTGTCTAGAGGGACTTAGAAACCTTGCGAGATACAACCCCGAAGGTTGAACTCAACGTTCAACCCGGTTGGACTCTGGGGAATGCGAAAGAAAGCCCTGAGGTTCTTCATTTTGTGGTTCGGATCTGGGCGAGGATGTTTAGGTTTTAGAGTTGAGGTTTGAAGTCTTAAGGCCAGTCTCAAGCCCTAACCCTAAAGGTCCATGTACTCAAAGAGTATATACATTGGCCTTGAAGTAGTCCGTATATAGGTACATTGGGCCCAAAGTATATACCATATACTATTTGGGTACATGGACCCTTAGGGTAAGCGCTTTTCAAGAAGGCTCGCGATTGTTGCAGGAGGGGAGTCGGAAAAGAGATCTCTCAAAACAGAAGGATGCCAACACCGAAGAAGTATCGTAATGATGAAGAGTATCAGTAGTATGCTATTAATAGTGGTCATGGGATATCAGGGGCATAGTAGCAAAATTGGCACCCTAATTGTTTGTTGGTCTAGTGCCAGGAGCAGCAGCGAGGGTCCTCAGAAGAACGAGGAGGTCGACGTCTCCCCGGAGGAGCCGCAGAGGTGCACCGTAGCTTTGGTCATCGGAGCGTTGCGGTTTACGGTTTTGGCATTTTAGGGGTTTTGGAGTTTCGTGATGTTTAGGGTCGGCGTGTCTAGAAACAATGATGAGGCTCTAGATTTTTCGAGTTTAGTATTTAGGCCCTTGGGTTTATGCAATTTGTAGACGAGGCTCTCGGTGCGTTTAGGAGCTTTTGTTTTGGGACTGTGCTTTGACGTTCAGCTGTTAAGCACGTGGCTTTCAAGACTTGAGTTCAGAGTGCCAGGCATTGCACTGTCGCCGTGGCATAAGGCTATCTTAAGGTTCAGAGCCTCAGGCAAACAGTCCGCAGCTCTTGCCCCTACCGTCGTGACCCACCCTCAATGGCATGAGGAGCTTTCCACAGACTCTGCGTCGGCAAAGCCAGCTAACAGAGTGAACACGAGCCCCTGTTCTCTTTCATCAGAACCCCTAGCACCCGAAACTCTGAAAAAAACTGTGCCCTGTAGACCTGCGTAAACCTTACATGATGATGCTGACTGTTCACTGTTTCGGCTTCCCCGAAGTCCCAACCCCCAAACTTGGTCCTGAACC